CCCTAACTGTGAAGTAGTTTTTGCGGATGTCCAATCTATACCTCCTCTCCATCAGCTTGTGCCCATTACTCCTTGTTATGCCAGCGGGCGCTAGGGGAAACAGCGTCTCCCCCAAACCCTTCTGGTCCCCCCTAGTGAGTTTATAGACGGTCACCAGGTCCCCCCTCAGCCTTCTCTAGTAATTGTCTCACTAGGAACACGGAAGTCAAATTGAACAAGCCTTTCCTGGTCTATTGAAGGTCTTATACTGCCTTTAGCACAGTAGCATGTTTCTGGTTACCCCATACCTACTGCTTCTAAGATTCAATGCCAGTGTATCCAACTGGGGAAAACCATTGCTGCCACCCTCCTGACAGCTGCTGCAGTGGAAAGTCTCACACCAAGGGAATTTAATCAACAGAACCTCTTTGATTATGTCAGTGCAATGCCAAACTGCTCAGTGGCACCAGGAACTGAACCTATGAGCTCTGCATATCAAACATAAGCCTCTGCTACCGAAGCTGAGTCACCAGGGCTAACCAAAGTGGTGCTAGATTTATCAACCAATATATTTGAGCAGTCAGCACTACAGAAGGACAAAACTGCACACTGGGAAGTTGTAGGTTACATTTATTTGACAATGGCTGTGTGTAGACAAGAAAGGCTCCTGCAGCCTGATTCTGAATTCCACAAGTTTTGGGGACAAGTCTACATTCAGTATTAAAAGAACCCAGAACTGATTTATACATTCAGATGCATATATATTGCAAAGCCAGGTGTGAGGCATGTCTTCCATTAGTTCATATGTAGTTGTATTGCAAAAGTTCAGTCTTTGGCTTTGGGTGTGCTAGGCATGAACAAACACAATACGATACATGCACGGTCATGTCTTACAGGTTAAAAATCTTCCCAAAGGAAGCCTGTGGCTCAGACATCTGCCTATTGCAGATGCAGATTGGCAACTGATGATGAGAGGAAGTACATGCCTTTAAAAGCCAAACCCTTGAAGGGAATGTGAACCTACAATAGTTTCTGTTATGCTAGACTAGAGGCATACTAGGATACGTCTCTAGTGTATTCCAAAGGGCTCAAAACTAGGTTAATGTAGCTTTGTATGCCCCAGTGTGGTCATTAACACCATCCTCATTTCACAAAGGGGACATTTGAAATGCAGCCGCTTGCCCAAGACCGCAGTTATGGCCGAACAAATAGACCCCAGGTCACCTGACTCCCAGTCCTCTCGAACCGCAAGGCACGTACTCTTCTCTTAGTCTAACGCCATGAGAACAAGCTGCTTCCTCATCAGAGCTTTGCATCTATTTAGCTTGTTCCTCTGAGCATTATTGTGTAGGGAGGGTCAGTCCCAACCAAGAAGAAAAACCTTTTCTCTGCCTTCACCTTCTGTAATTGTGTGCTCAGGGGGAGGGGACTACAGAAACAGATCCAAACTGGCGTGGCAGCTACCTGCCTGAACAGAGAAATACACTTCACAGCTGTCAGGCTGTCAGGCAAGAAGCGATCCCACTCTGACCTAAGCAAGTCCCAACTAGCAGTGCAGTGGGACTCCTCTCTCAGATGCTTTCTTCCTCTGCACTGCAGACGCTTGGCTCAAGCTCGTGGCAGCTTCTAGTCTGTACTTTTCCCCTGGGGTTTTCTACTTTGACATCCCCATGGATTCACACTGGCACTACCAGTTCCGGATTATTATGCTGGGGGACTCCACGGTGGGGAAATCATCCCTGCTGAAGCGCTACACTGAGGGCGTCTTCCTCGAATCCATCAATCAAACTGTGGGAGTAGATTTCTACGTCCAATTTATGGAGATTGAACCTGGGGTCCAGGTTAAGCTGCAGTTTTGGGACACGGCTGGGCAGGAGCGATTCAGGTAGGTTTGTCAGAGAAGCATCAAGGGTGGTAGGGGAAGGGGAGGGCAGAGAGCTGCATGGGCAGCTAAAGGGGGTTTAAAATTGCAGTGGAGGTGACAGACTTCTTGCAGATGCAGGGAACACCAGGGCAGTACTTGGATTGCTGTTTAGGGAAAGGGGCTGTATTAACAGGCTCGGAAACTCAGCATCTCAGAGCAGGAAAAGCATGGGCAGCACTTGAGCTATCTTCCCCGACTGATGTTTCTGGACTCTGTCTCCGGAAGATAGTAGACCCACGTGCTCTTTGGTCTCTCCTGAGACAGTGAATGAAAGGGGCAAACTGTGAGGTATCAGGAGAGGGTTCAGTGATGGGGCATGAGGACTCATAAAGCTGGGCTGGGATCTCCACCTCTCCTATTCTGACTCCATGTACAAAGAGCCTTGGGTCAGGGGCAGGCAGCACATGGCACAGAAATAGGGAGGGAGTCATTCAGCACTTAAACCAGGGATGCACAATACTCACAGGAGCTCACTGTGCAGTGCACCCAGGGGGAGTTGCACACAGGCTGGCTCACACACTCCAGCTAACTTGTTAACAATACTGGAGAGTCCTCCTGAGTCTCCGGCCCTGGGGGTCAGGGCTTGAAATCAGAGCTGAAATTTGGAAGCCAAGTGCCTGCCAAGTGATACTCAGTGCAGGGAGAGAAAAAAAGCAGTCTGAACACCCTGATGCAGCAAAGTAAGCTGATCTGCTTTGTTCTTCCCCTTCTAGATATAGCTATTCAAACCCTTATTCCTATTAAAATAAGTGGCAGAAGTCCCAGTGACTCCATTGGGAGCAGGATTCTTCCCAGTCATCAGGAAAATAAGCAAGGAGAAATTCAGGAACAACCTCCAGGGTAGGAAAAGCACTCTCATCATAGACTGTCAGCAGAGGGCTGCCAATCACGTGATCAGTTTTATACATACGTGTCAGGCCTGATTCTCCCTACCCCTGCCTTTCAACTCATTTTACAGCCAGATAACTCTACTGACTTAAATAATGTACAGTAGTGGAAGGGGAGACTCTGGCCTGATTTCTAGGCACTACCTGGCACACCAGCCACTTATGTCAGTCCAAAGCCCTTCACAATTCAGCACGCCAAGGCCCTAAGCACAGAGCGTTCTTCTTCTTAGAACTATTATGAACCAAGCAACCACCTCATTGAAAGAAATGGGCTGCTCACTCCTGAAGTGTACAGTATTCAGATGTGCCAAGGGAACTGAAGGGATAAAGATGACTCCTGAAACCTCATTTGCACTAGAGCTTTTGCCAGTAAAGAACCAGTTAGGAAACCTGTCACTGTAGACAAAGCTACAACATCTCCCACTGGCTGAAGCAGGAACAGACAGGTCTCAGTTGGTCAATGGCTCTGTGCTTGTGCCCTCAGCCTGAACTTGGCCCACCCCTGTGCTATGGCTGTAGCAGGTGGATCTACACTGGTGGCTGGGCAGGAGTAAGGAAAGTTCCCATAGATCTGCTGTAGACAGAGCCATGACTAGCTGTAAACATACCATGCAGTTAATCCTCCAGCAGTGTAATGCCTTTCTATGGTGGGTTTAGCATACGGTCTTGTATCCTAACTCTGGCACTAGAACCATAGCCAGATGGGTTGGTTTTCTCATTCCCAAGAGACTTGCCCCACAAACTCCTGGCAGCAGTCTGGCAGAGGCCGAATGTTAAAATTGACTGGATTTTCCTAACCTGTTCTGACGGACAGCAGAGGAGATATATAAGCCTACACTAGAGTTGGGAAAAGGAGCATTATACACACAAGTTAAATGTGTTGGTTACAACTGAGTGAAATGAAAATCAAAATAATGCTCAGTGACCGGACATACAGCATAGAAAGGCCCAACTTCTAAGACCAAAAGCTGAAAAAAAAAATTCCTTCAAAACCATTTTGGTAGAAAATTGAGTATTCAAATGAATAATATCCCCCCCCCCATGAGTGTCTGCTTCTCATAGAAAGTCAGTAGCAAACACCAAAACATTTTCAGTTCAACATGTCAATGCGCTGTTGTATGAGAAGTATCATTTTTGTTCTCATTTTCACTTGTAAGCTGGACTACATTTCCCATAATACATGATCAGCAGGATTCTTTTTTAATGAAACACTCCTTACCATCAGCCAGGAAAAAAATAGTCCATCATGGGAAATATAACTTCATGAGAAAGCCCAGCCCCTAAAGAATAGCAATCCAGGTATCTTATACTCCAGGTGCCATGGGATAGCAAGATGCTATTTTGAATTGAAAAATTTTAGCTTCAATATTTCAGAAAAAAATTAAACAAAAATTTTGGAGGAGGCAAGCTTTCTTCTGACTCTTTCAGGCACTTCACACTGCTTCCATATCACAAAGATGATCTTTAGGAAGGTAATAAAACAGAGAATGTCAAGTCTCACGTGTACCCCTCTTTGTACCTAAGATCTGTGACACGTTCCTACTACCGCAACTCTGCTGGGGGAGTGCTGATGTTTGACCTGACCAACAGAGCATCCTTTGAAAGCATCCGTGACTGGCATCGGGAAGTGACAGAGACTGTGAAACCTTTTCACATAGTTTTTGTCCTGGTTGGGCACAAGTGTGACCTGATAGCAGAGCGCAAGGTTGGAAGGAAAGAGGGTCAGAAGCTGGCTTCCTCGCTAGGGGCAAAGTACATCGAGACATCTGCTAAGAACAGTAGCAATGTGGATGCTGCCTTCCAAGTGCTGACTATGGGAATCTATGAGGCACTGAAAACTGGGGTAATGAGCCCAACTGAGGACTGGGATGGAGTGAAAAGTGGATTGTCGCCCACAGCAGCGACTACAATACAAACACCAGGAAAACAAGAGCAGAAAAAGAAATGCGCATGTTAGTAAGACACTGCAAGTCTCAAGAAGCCAGAATACACTACCAGTGTCCACCTCCTCTTACAAGACATGGCAGCTAGACAATATTGAATGATATGTAAGGGCAGTTACTGCAGTCTTTCATTACAAGGTAATGCCTCATAACTTGGGCAACAAACAGAATTGGAAAGGGTGACAGCTATATACTCATATCCAAAGACTTTAGTGTGTTGCAACACCCTATGCGCTTCGAAAAGATTCAAAACAGCAATGAAATGGCGTAAGCACTGGAAAAGGCAGAAATGTACACTTGAATGTTGATTAAATGTTTTATTCATATTTCTCATTGGCTTTATTATCCTAATAGAGGAGGAATTATTTAATACTAGCCATGCCAATGAATATGGCAAGAGTATTATCCCCAGACAGCATGTACAGGCATAGTAGAATCAGGAGGTGGGGGAAACCTAAACACCTGGGGATAGAAGCTCTATGGATGTTGCATTTTTCTGTGCGCTAAACGTTCCAACTGCTGTTCTGCTTGTAAAGTATTTGCCAAGTGCATATACGCAGCCAGAGTCTACAGAAAGCCTTGTCAGCAGCACTTGACATACCAGCAGCTCCCTTCCTACTGATGCAACTCCTAGTTTTAAAACCTAAGTCACTTTGTTTTACCATTACACCCTACCCGATTACATAGCATCTGGCTGAAAACTTCCAGCCCCTGAGGCCCTACTCATAGCTAGGCTTACCCTCTGCTTGAAAGGATACTGCTTAGAAAACAGACTACATTTTGAATATGTAAAGAGGCACTTTTTATTTAAGTAAAACAGCTCCCCTTTCAGGCCTAATTATCAGACTTAGCGATCTGGTTCTGAGCCAGCAGCACTCCCCTTGACTTTTGTGTTCTTGGCATTAGACAATATCAAAATACCCTAAGGTTCAAGACCAGGGTAGCTTTCACCTCCAGGTTCCTAATCAGAATTTAATCTATTTTGGTAACTATTTTTGTTTCCTAAAATGTTTGGCTCTTCAGGTGACTGCCAAATGAAATGAAGTTTTAACTGAAAATAGTTATTAGCTGGGCACAGAGATGAACTACAGACACTTAGAGAGCTGTATCACATCCCTGATTTTGACTGATCATGTCAGATACCAGGAAAGCAGCAGAAGGAACCCTATATTACTGCTTAGTCTATCAAAGAGTTCAGTCCCTAGTACTGTCAAGCCCATAAGACTCAACTTGGTGTTCGAGTTGATCAATTTAATCAGAATTCTTAACAAATAAACCTTATTATAATCAACTTGCTTTGTTTACATTTACATGTTAGTGTAAAGCAGATGAGATGTTGCAATTTCATCTGAGGTGCTGCAGCAGTTTGGAAATTTGATGGCTTACACTTAGGATCAGGTGCATGTTAGGCTTTTTTGGGGGACCAGGCCACACACAGTTTCAGCCCTGTCAATCCAGAACTCAAGACTGGCAATTTTAGGAACCAACAGCCTTCTCCTCCTGCATTTGTAATTTGAAGAACCTCTCACCTGCTTTCTGAAGTGAACAAGTCTACAATTCCAGTTTCTTCTCTAGGATGTTTAAAGTGAATCATGTACTGATGAAGTGTTCCCAGTTAAAAGCCTGCAAACCAAAGGAATCGATTCAGGCAAGACAGTGCACAGTGCCTGATCCAGAGGGAACCAGCAGAGGGGAAGTCAGTCTCCATACCTTGAATACTAACAACCTGAATAAACAAACCCCAAGGTCTCACACACCAAGCAGTCCATCTCCAACTGCTGGGAGATACCCTATTTGAAACTGTTTAATGGGAACAGCACAAGACTGTGCCATGGTTCTTCTTTATTCATGTAAAACAAATGCAAATATTTATACAAACACTGACATTACAAAGTACTGGGAACTGGTAGGGAGCAAAAGAGGAAACAAAAACCTCTAGAGATGCTTCTAATACTGTCCCAAACAAGACCAAGATGCTCTGTCCCTCAGATAATCACTTAGACGATAAACCACTTTAAAGTCACAGATAAAGTCTTTGTTTCAAGATATGTTGCGTTCTTTTGAGAGGCTGAGGAAGGGGGCATATAATGTTTTTTGGCAGATCTCCTCATAAAGTCAGATATTGCTGCACTGTTAATAAAAATATATGCTTCTCTGTAAAGCATTAAAAAAAATATCCCATGGATGGTGTCATGGAGGCTTCAGCTTAGAGGCAGATATCCCAAAATGCACCGCAGTCATCTCCCTGCCATTCCTAGAGGTTATTTCTTGGTGGTTTTGCGGATCAGTGCCATCCTCTGAAACAAGAAAGTGAAAATACAGGGAACTGAGAGTCTGAGACACGGGCATTTACAATCAAGCCTGGAATGTGCTACATAGGAATGACACAGAAGAAATAGACTAGAAGTCTGCTCAAAGCTACTTATGCAATAATACCATCTGCTGAAAGTGAGCTCTGGTAAGCACATGGAACAGATCAAGAGCTCCAGACAGAAGCTTTTCTGCACTGGCCTTTGTACGGCTTGTGAACCCTGTTTAAACAGTCAAATCTTGTTGCTGACTAAATCCATTTGTGATGTGATCTGTCTAAACTTGTAGATAGGCCAAGCCATAAATCACTGCAGCCTAACCCCTACTAAAGCTTGCATACTCTCATAAACAGAGTTCCTGGTTTTCCCTAATTAAAAAAAATAAATTAAATTAAAAAACTGCAAATTTTCTGATAAAACCCCCAAATTAGCAATTAAAATAAAATGCCCCTATACATATAGGTATCAATGTTTTATTGATACATCTACCATTTTAAAGCAATTTGGAAGCCTAGCCTACCAGCGCTTCAATCACTATACAGGTTTCCCTTGCTTTACGCCGTACATGCGTTCCTGGAAAATGGCGCATTTTTAGCTTGAATTCGCAAAAAGAGAACCCACTTTACACCATAACAAATCGGGATATGTTTCAAGACCCTGACTGTACTGATCCCCAGACCCATTTCTACCACTTGTACAAGACAATTTTGGCATTCTCCAACAGTAGACAGTACACACAAACACAGGGCGGTAGGGACTGTTTAGTTGGTGTGAAGAGAGGGTGGCTCTCCCTCCCTTACAGGCAGTATGGCTGGAGGAGAACTTCGGGGTTGGGGGGCGGGCAGGTGTGGGTTGCCCGCTGAGGGCTCAGGGTGCCGGTTGCTGCACACGCTTCCAGGGAGGTGGGGGGGCACATGCCCCCCAGATCTGTGCATGGGGCAGGCTGCCCACTGCAGGCTTAGGCTCCCCATCCTGCTGCCCTCCTCTGGGGCCTCCACAATCCAATGGGCACGGCAGCACAGAGAGGGCAAGGAAGCTTGTTGTGGCCATTGAGACCCCTGCACTGCTCTGGTGACATACCCCATGTCTGCCTGGAGCAGTGAGGGGCCCAACCCCACACAGCACATTGCAGGCCCAGGCCCCAAGCCCCATGCACCACCCGGCTGGGCAGCAGCCCCAGCCCCACTCCAGCCCTGCCCAATGCCCTCCCTCCCTATGGGCCTCAATTCCCCCTGCCATCCCCACTTACCTGCTGGAGCTGCTCTCCAAGCTGCCTGGTGGCCATGTGCATACGCGTGCACATGGCACCCCCTGCCTGACCACCCTCCACCCCGTTCCCCCAGCCCCTTGCAGGCTGGAACTCTGCCAGCCTCCAGAGAGCTCTTTGCAAAAGAGCAAAATCCACTTGTTTCTCTGCTAAAATGAAAAATCTGCATTTTTCTCTGGCAAAATGGAAAATCCACGTTTTTCCCCCCGTTTTTTCCATAGGAAATGGGAAATGTGGATCCATACTCATAAGAAGGGTTGCATCATGACTTCTCCTGATGTACATTTACATGTGCCTAAGTCCATTTAAACCCTGGCCTCAACTACAACCAGAAAGAAAGAAAAATGTTTTTCATAGTCTGTGGTTCTCTGCTTAGGAGACCTCCTATCCTGAGCTCTTTTTTGGGTCTGACAATTCTTCCTAATTTCGCTCACTAGTATGACTTAAATATCTTACTCGTATACTGCAGAGTTAAAATCCACTTTAAGGTCCGCCCCTCTACCATCCCCAACCCCATTTCAAGCACAGCATTTATCCAAGCAGCATGTAGAGCAAACAATATCATTTTTCTGATGCAGTTTCACAGACGTAGAGCACTTCATTTATGGGTGTGACTTAAAAAAAAATGCAACAACTCACTTAAATTATAGCTGAGTCAAGGCAGAAAGCAGAGATGTACAAGTACTTAACAACTGAAATTCCAGAAAAGTCATAAGTGCTATTGAAGGTGCCCCAGACTTACATTCCCAAGATTTACAGTTACTGTTAGTAGCAACCAGGTACTTGCTGCTTCCTCACACAACTATTTGTTTCTCTTGGGACATCTCTGCAACTGTCTTACAGTGAGTCAGGATGACTCGCAGCACTGTTCTTTACCTCCACTGCTACAGCCATTAGCTCACACCAGCTGCATGGGTGCCAGTTCATATTTTAATGCAATGCTGGGCTGCAAATATAAAAGCAGCTCTAACAAAGAGCAGGCCTTAAGATCACTCTTGACCACTATATGCAAAGTGTCCCTAGACTCTTGAACTTATACAGACAGGGACATCTTCAGCCACTATGGAATTTTAAACACAAAATTTTGAAATGTGAAATATTTGGCTATAATAAAACCATTTCATTCAGTGAACCATGCAGGGTCCTATCTCAGTTATATCCAGCTCCTGAACTGAATATTTTTTTTATAGGGATTTTGAAAGCGGGAGCTTTCTTCCTGACCACATAACTGCTTGGGGGCTGAGTGTCATTCTTGGAGACAAGGTAAGACCCCAACAAAACTACTACCTATAAGATCCATCATATAGTGATCCAGCTCTGCAGACATGCAGTCTTTTGTCTGAGACAACTAAATACTGAAATGTGGAATATGTGGTTGCCAGTTATGAACAAGGATCTGCCCATAGTAATTCTCTTTGACTTAAAGGCTTGAAGCCTTGGAGCAAACTTCAGGGAAGAGTGTCTTTAAGAAGACTAGAGAAGCTGCGTATATATCATTAGGATTCATTTTTCCTAGGTTTGTAATATATCAGACTAGAGATGAACAAAAGAAAAGCTCTTGTACAGGGTGAGGATAGGGTCAGAATCCTCAGGTTTCCATTCTAGATAGAGCTCCCTACCATCACCTGGGGAAGAATCTATTCTTAGCTGGATTCCTCACCAGCCTTTCCATTTAGTTGAACTGTTTGGAAAAAGATTTTTGGTTCAAAATCTAAATGAACCCAAACAGGATAGCACTATTTCCTCATTACCTCCTGTGCAATGCCAGTGTCACAACAGAGCACTGTCTCTGCTGCTACACCAGAATAATCTAAGCAATTCAGAAGAGTTTCTGACTCAAAAATATTACCACTTGACTAAAGGTTCTGGCTTACAAAGCAATCCTACTGGGCACTGCCTTCAACAGAAAGATGTGGCATTCAGCCAAAGCAGACTTGTCTTTCAGAAAACATAAGTCAAATCCACCCCACAAAACTAGAGAGAAAAGCTAAGGCATTTAATCCATTTCCTTCATGTAATGGCTGGAGTTCAGGAAAACTCTGCTTGTACTGTCTCCCTGATATTTAGCGGCTAATACATTAGCAAAGGACTCCTCACCTGTTTGTGAGCTTCTGTAGTGCAGGCTTTTTTGTACGGCCGTATTTCTTCAGAGCCAAAACCTGGGATCCACATGTTCCACTGACGTTCTGGAATGGGAAAACAGATCAGTGTTTAAGAAAGCTGTACCGACTAACCGACCAGTGGACACACTCATGTATCAGGACTGTAAGATAAATGACAAAAATTGAATCAATGCACAAACCTGGTGCCACAGCTATCAACACATAATGAGAAAGGGGTTTGTATTGGAAAGCTAAATTCCTGCTATAAAAGGCATGGAAAGATCACTTTTTCTGCACTAGCACTTCAGAATTTTCATCAGTACTGGAGCCCTACAGTCGTGGGTACTACATACACCTACTGAAAAATAAAAACAGTCTCTTCACTACAGACTTTACAATCTAGGTTGCAAGACAGGTGCAAATGACACATTAGCCCATATGAGCAGGAGTTCTGGTGTTAGGGAAACATAAGGACACTGAACTCGTCTCTCTTGACTCTCAAGAGGTTTGCTACGGCTGTGTGTTGGGTAAAAGCAGGGCAAATCTACATGAGACATTAACTGCAGAGCTGCCTAATTAGCTCCACAGTACATGTCTTGGCATCTACACATGCAGCCCTATTAGGCCACAGGAAACTAATCAACTCCACAGCACTGCACATGTACATGTCAACATTAGCCCTGCACTGGGGCACTCTTATGCTCCAGCCAGCCCCTCCACAGCACACTGAGCTGGAGTTGGAGCAGTCCCAGGTTGACAAGCTGATCCCCCGGGTTCCCTGCCAGCCTGGCCTGATCCAACCCAGCTCAACATGTTGTGGTCCCAGCTGCTTGTGAAGAGGTGGTGCTCATGAGCAATAAACTCTCATGTGATGTGCCAGAGTTTATTGCTCTGTATTAATAAGCACGTGTAGATGTGCCCATTGAGACAGAATGGAGGGCGGTCTCCTTTTGTTACAAGGCACTGGTCTCTTACCAAGATGCAACTGGACATCTTTCACTTCCAGAGTGTTTGATTTGCGATGTCGGGCAAGCTGGCAGGCAGCTGTCACCACGCTCTCAATGAAGTCATCAGCAATTTGCAACAGCATCTATCATGGAGTGGAGAGAAGGATGCCCCAACCCCATTAATATTGGGTATTTTTGGCTGAATGTTACAATCAAATAATGACCAGTACCAAGCAAAACCCCCACAAGCTACTACTTCAAATCAATATTATTCCACTGGCCACGTCTATATCAGTGGCAGACTGTGCAGTTATTACTGCAGTTATTTAGCACCTGCATAAGCAAGTACTAAATGACCAGTAACCAGCATTACTGTGCAGTACCATCCCCCCCCCCGTTTTTTTCCAACCCTACTGTGCAGTAGCAATGAGCTACTTCACAGTAGTGCATTACTACGGTGCAATATTATTATCACATGGTTAGTGCCTGGCAACGCTACTGCACAGTAGCAATGAGCTACTGCACAGTAGTGTTACTCATTGCTACTAAGCAGCAGCATCTCATGTAGACATGCCCACTGTGTCTTACCTATAGCATTAAATGCGAGCTCAGTGCCACATTTGATACTGATCAAGTCATAACAGCACAGTAATGTGAAACAACCTTCCCTGGACTGGGCTGGGGATTACTGGTGTATATGAATGCTCTGGGTTAACTATCTAGGCAACTCACCTATTATTGACACATGAACCAGGACCTACCTCCTCCACATCCTCATCCAGCTGCTCATTTGGATCCACCTCTCGAACCAGATCCTGCAATTTCTTCTTGGTTAAAACCTGAAGGAAAAAGAGGGGACACTGTCACCCTACAATAGGAAACTGGTTGCAATGGACACAAAACAGCAGCTCAAAGACCCTAGTTTTATACATTATTTGGCACAGCAGATCCCCCCAGGAACTACACAGATAAAAATATTACGTAATAATGAGCAAAATATCTTTGGCAGCTACACACATAGAGCAGTGCCCAACAGAACAGAATAAATAAGGCTGCCCTTTCAAGTGGAAACGTATTTGTTAATGTCTCTCATCCTAAAATACTGTGCATTAAAGCAATAGGGGTGCCAAAGAGAACATCTGTACAACAGGAACTCTTCAAGGGTGGATTGCAAGCACCAAAAGCATTTGAGTTACTGCAAATTTTATATTTCAGCAAAAAGATACCTGACATTGCCAAAGTGACTATAACACAAATCTCCTTCAAAGGAGATTAATTTGCTACCACTGAACTGCAGTCACTGCTGAGGCAAAGAGCTACATTAAGTACAGCACAAGTGCACAATCAGTACTGAGGATTTTATTATTTACAGACTACAGGCAGTTTACTTGGTGCTAAAGGACACATGGGAAAGATGCTTTCTCTGCTCCAAAAACATTTTACAAAGATAAAGCTGGTACAGTTAGTTCTTCTGTGAAGTGCCAAGGGACCTACTGTCCAAAAAAACACACAGGGGCTTCATTCAATTCAAGGAAAATCCCCACACAAATTATGGAGAAAGTAAAATTCTTGACTTTAGAACACTGAATGCCTAAGTTGAAGCTACTGGGATTGGAACCTGCGATTCCACGGCCAAAGAATTCATGATGATTAGACTATTAAGCCATCCCCTTTCAGAGGTGAAAGGTCTTTTTTCAATCTCAACTTCTTCCTCTTTGTAATTCATTCCACTCTGTACCCAGCATGGCTACAACAGGCATGGAACTGGGAGAGGTGGAATAGGCATTCTTTTGAAAGGGATGAAGTGACAGCGGGGAAGAATGCAGTCTGTTACATTTTTTGATAACAGACCGTTTTGAAAACAGCAGTATTTGAAATACTAAACTGAAAGTAAATATTGTCTACATGTGGAAAGTGTCAGTTCCTTGACCAGTATTCCTATCTGCATTGTCCAAAGCAGGCAAGGATTACCATTACACAGAGTACGTTGGAGCCAGCCATCTGTCACTGCAACATACAAAAGGTCTGTTTAAAATGGTTTGACACCTATTGATCTGACAACTCAGATAAGTGGGATCTAGCACAAGACTCTGCACTTGTCAAACAACAGCATGCAGCACTGGGAAAACTTTGTATTTAAATGTTTTGTTTTTCATATAAAGGCACATTTTGATTTTTGCCACATATCCAGCTTCTTTACAAAGACCAGTTCAGATGGTAAGTCCTTTGGAGGTAAGAAATGGAGCTGTACAGATCAAATGAACTGTAACAGTAACTGATTTCATACAAAATATTTGTCAGTTGTTTAAGAAGAGAGAGAGATTAAGCTACAGAAAAGCCTGTACAGATGACCCTCTTCCCCTCCCCAAACCTCAAATTAAATTACCTGATTGCTTTCTGGACTCAGGCGTCCCCCTCCACTAGGGGTCCCAGGCATCTTAGCCACAGTAGTACTGTTTGCCATGGAGCTCTGTGGTGGAGTGCTAGCAGGTTCTGGCTTTATCGAGGAGAAGTTGGATAAGTTGATCAAGGTAGATGGGCCAAACTGGTTCATAATCTGCTGGGCTTTAGCTTTTAAATCATACAGCTTATCAAGATCCTGTTTCTTTTTGGGGTTGTGAGGACCCAAACCGATCAGCTAAAGAAACAAACAAACCACAAGCTTAATGGTAGGTTAAATGTGAATTCAGAGATGGGATTTCCTTCTCTAACCAATCCCTTCAAAAGTCTGCACTAAAACCATAAACCAAAGGCAGGGCCAGTAGCTTATCCGTTGGTGCCTCTAAAAACATTTTGAGAGGGAGGGAAGTCAGTGAGAAGAGAGAGACTTCTTTGTATTTTGAAATGTGAAACTTTAATAGAAAGCATGGTGAATGCAAAGCCACCGAGAGAAGAACCAGTAATGTGCCCGAAGATGGACCACCCACCCTAAGCATATCCCCAAATCTTCACTCTCTCTTTTCCAGTCCCACAACTAATTCACTCCATGGCTGTGTCCTACAGATCCTAGATACAGATTGTCACTCATTCTTATGTCTGCACTTTTTTTTTAATTTTTATTTTACAGGCAGTCTTAAGGTCTCCAGACTTTTACTGTTAACATTTTAAATCAGGGGTTCCCAAAATTTTGCCTCTGAAGGGCCATTTCCAAAGTCCTGGGTGGCAGACCACATCAAAAAGGGCTCATGGAGCACACCGTGGGAACTATTCCAAAAAGACCCCACCTACTACTCAGCTGCATGAAAAGGTAACATTTAGGGAACCCCAAGTTTAGAGGAACAGATCAAAGAATATCTCTTGAGGTATACAACTGAGAACATTTAACAAAACAAAGTAGTGTAGCAAGATCATAAGCTTTTCTGGGCAGGGTCTGTACAGTGCCCAGCACTGTGGACCTGGTTAACAAGGGAGTTCTGAGATGCTATCACAATACTACTATTAACAGAAATCTCTGTCTTTACATCTAAGGCAGCTCTGTAATTGAGCAGAGCAGACTAAGGTAAAGTTCCTCATGCAACAGCACTAGCAAGACTAGGCACCCAGGACGAAAGCATGGCTCTGGCACGTAGCACTTTGGACCACCTGAAGCCTAAATCACCCTTCTGCCCAAACTGCTATGTACACTAGTGCAACAGTTCGCAATGACAACATGATATATCTGGCCTGACAGCGTAGAATTCAATTTAACCTATGAACCTAGTAACCTTCAAGTCAGATCTCTGAAGCTGACAGGACACCATTGCCCCAAGTTCCTTTGATTTAGCTCCAGAACATGAAGTTTAGTGGATTACTAACAATATGCCAAAAATGAATACTCTCATAAACTTACTTAATAAGCCTGGTCCCGCCAGTTTAGCCATAAGGTTTTTGGACTAATTTACATTATAGCCCATTAGACATAAAATCATTTTGGATTGGATTTGAACCAGCCAACTAGATGAATAAATAGGTTGTAAATCTTTTGAGCTACCTACTCTTCCTAACATAGTGCACATCACTACAGAGTCAGTTTGGCTTCTTTCTGGACACAGGGAGGCTCTATTCAAACTTGTGTTCTTCAGTTCTCACCAACAACATTAAGGACATGCTGCAGTAATTCTTTTTAACACACTAAAAATATTTACTATGGAGTCTGATGTAGAGTAAGAGCATCTGAAGCCTCTTACAAGTCATTCACTATTCTATTATCTCTACCCATCATCTCAGTCTCTACCAGTCCTCAGTAAGAGCTGATATTTTGAGTAGCTATTTAGAAAATTCATTTAAAAGTATATTCACACTATTTGAAAGTATAGGTATTATACTGTAAAGTGATTTAAGAGGAGAATTTGGAGACTTTAGAAGCAGCTGTATTAACTCTGAAATTCTAAGTGTACATCCATTCACACAGATGTTTCCTGTACCAGTCTACAGAACTGATTAATACAATATTTTCTGTATATCAGATACATCATCTTTTAAGTATTTTATGATCCATCATTGGAAACCCCCAAACTACTTATGTTACACTGAATTTTTCTTTTAGATCTTCTGCAAAAGAATATTGTTTGGAAAAAGTCTCTTTTCAAACCAACACCTAATAAAAGCTGAAAAATATAACTTAGAGGAAAAACAGAAAGCTCATATGAATTAACAGAAATCATATTTTACACCTAACTTACAAAGTCAGTTTTTTATCTGTACAAACAAATACTCTTGTTAGTTTGTATTAACCCACACAGAAAAACATAAAAAATTCACACAAAACTGCTTAGAAAATGGATATTTTAGTGCTTCATTCCAACACTGAGTCATGCGTTGCTGCAAACATTACAAACCATGTTGTCTTTGTAAGTCAACGTAAGTGCAAGTCATTTCACATAGCTCTCACAACAATTTCTAGCTTCATTTTAGCAGCCTTTAAAAATGATGGAGAATCCCCACAGTCATGCCTTGGGGTGTTCTCCAAACTCACACAGCACTCTAGGAACTCTTATCTGTCATTTCTGAAATGAGACACTTATCCAGAGCTTAAGGCAAGGACCAGCAGAAAGGCAAGAACCAGGGTTCTAATACAGGTTCAGCCACCAGCTAGCCTTAATTGACACATCTGTGGAGAAGAAATTCTGACATAACACAGAGAAAGTAAAATTATGTTTTCTGAAATGTTTTAAAAAAAATCTTACACCCTAAAGTGGGTCTTAGTACAGAGAAATTTTTCTGATTTCATCCTCTGCACGTGACCAAGTTTGTCAAAAAGTAAGCCTAATACAGATCTGCAGGTCCTCACATCAACTCCTGCATGCCAAGTCATGGCAAGCCCAAGCAATTTACTTACAGCTATCTGAGTGTCTAGATCTTTAATTACATCAGCAACTGCTGTTGGCCCAGTGAATGGAGAGGCCATTTTCCAAAATCTTCCTGTAAATAAAGACAGTATTAACCTGCTCTCCCTCCTCTTTCAGAGTTCCCAGTCCTAAAGCAAAAGTTTTATATATATCATGTACCATATCATAAAAAGGCTTTGGCAGAAAATATGCAAATGGGTATATTCTGTGCTTATTAAACTGGATCTGATGTTATTGTTTCTGGATAGTTAATATAAAGATTTATTTAAATAGCAACTGTTGAACCTAGCATATACTGCCAAACAAGAAATTTCCCAGGGTCCTGAAAGGAAAGCAGAATTTTATGTTAAACTTCATTCATTTGCCAGATTTTAAGCACAGGACTTCTTGATATTGGGATAGAAGAGAGCACATGGGTACAGATTAGCACCATTTTGTGCAACAGTAGCATTCTTGCCACAGCCTGAACTAATGCTACTGGCACCTGAGCAATCTCTACAGTAACTTGCTATGTCCTGCTGTTAGTGTTACACTAGGAGATAAAGTTAAGAGTCTACTGTACAGTGAAATAAAATAGCTTGTTGATCCATTCACCAAATGGCTTGCACTTCCCATTTCTAGGAGGTGGGGAGTACTTTGAATGAAGACATCTTTAGAAGGCTGAAAAGGTTTTTTTGTTTGCTTGGTTTTGTTTCTTTTAACAGTCTTTAAATTTTTGCTTCTTTACAATGGATAAAGAAAAGGCAAAGAGATTCTCTTCTCTGATTTTCACCTAAGAAATACCACATGTCAAGTTTAGCCTTTCCTTGTTTTTCTGGACGAGCACTTTAGACATGCTGTATATCTTGAGAGCTACATTGCAAGGACTTATAAATTAACTGAAGGGACAGGGTGTATGATCTGAAGGCATCTCCTTTCTACTAAGCAGTAATGCAGCATTGGACTTCAATATATATTCAAAAATGTCTAAACAGTGGCTGAAAATTCTTCTCCCCCCCAACTTACTTTCAACCTTGCAACATCAGTTCTGCAAGACTGCGGTAACTGGAGAAGGCAAAAACCAAAATCTTCAGCTAAGAATTAAGCAGGAAAAAAAACAAAACTTTTTTTACCTTATTTTTCCCATCACAGCAGAAGACAAAAATGTACAAAGTATGCTAAAGGTTTCTGCTTAGTATGTCACCTTTAAGGGCGCTGAGACAAAACTTAATGTATAAAATGTGCACATATTTCAGCAAACCTTGTATAAGGAAGCACCGGATACAATATCCACAGACATCTATATGAATCCTTACCTGGTTAAAAGAACTGAACACGAACATAGGCTAATTCCTCCCAATCATACTTGGGGGAGTGGGGAAACAAAAAACAAGATCAGCTAGTCCTCCCAACTCCAGAATTAAAAATTCATTTGTAATCAGTCTGGTAAGTACGAGGTCAGGAGAACACATTATATAATACATTCGCTACCCTACTTTGACTTCAATACGAGTGCTGAAAACATAACGGTAAAAAACGGTGCTGTAGCTTGATGCTTCATCGAGATTATATATATATTATATATTTATTTAAAATGAAGAAAACAATTAAAAACAACTCTCAAAAAAGATACCATATTTTAACCTCAAAGCAGACAGACAGTTGAACAACATCACAAGGTTGGGAAACACTTCCTCTGAGCAAAGTCTGGAGAGGGACAAGAGGTTTGGTTTTAAACCTTGATAAACCGTCATCCAAAATGCCAGTCTCCAAACGATGACCAGGCTTTTCTGGTGGACAGCATCAAGGTGTCACTGACGCTCGTGGGAAAATCCATCCCTTCAGCAAGACTCACGGGATAATTACAGCAGGTGAGTCTACGGGAAACGAGTCCAGCCAGCAGAGACGTCTATTTTATTTCCCCGCACTGGGTTTGCGGTGAAAGCTTGTGCCCCACACAGGCCGCACCCCTCTGGCTCTGCTACCCGTCCTACAACGGGGCACTCGTACCCCCGCGGGGCTCGGCACAGGTGAGCCAGGCCCCGCCCCGGCCGTCGCGGCTGACACTCCCCGCTTGGCTCCCGAAGCGGCGGGGTCGAGCGGGAAAGGATCCATCGCGACGCCCTGAGCGCGGCAGGCTGCAAAGCGGCCCCAGGGCCGAGCCCCGAGGGAAAGGGGCGGCAGGGCCGGGGCCGCCAGGCGGTGGGAGAGGGGAGGGGGTCGCTCACCTCGCGGCGGGGGCAGGACGCCGCGGTGCCACCGCCCTTCCCCCGCCCCGGCCCTGCACTCACCGCTCCCGCCTACCGCCCCATGGCCCACGGGTGACCGCCTCGGTCCGACCTGCCGCTGCCGGCTCTGCCTCGCCACAAAGAGTCCTTCCGGGGTCGCGAGCGCTGCCCCCCCGGAAGCACTTCCCCGGCGCCGGCCAGGCCCCGCCCCGCCAACGCGGAGGAACTGCGCATGCGCCGATGTTTGACAGCGCCCGATAGGCGTAATCCACCCCTTGCCCCGCTAGGGCAGAGCCTTTCCCTGCAGATCAAGCGGCCCTGGTTCAAACCCGAGCGGTTTCCTCCCTTCACTGCCCCTTGCCGCGCACGTGGGCTGGAGCGCTTCCGGGCCCCGGCCCCGCCCACGCTGCGATCCCAGCATGCCGCGCGCAGATTTGCATCTAACACTGTGGGCAGCGGCGTGCAATTTTTTGGAGATTTGCGGGGAAAAGACGAGCCAGAGGGGGAACCAACCCCGGGGGTGCTCTTGGAGGGGCCGGGCGCGCGTTGCTGCGGGAGGGTTAGCGGCTCGCCCTCACCCTGAGAGAACTCGCTTCGCCTGTGGAGGCTGGGCCGCGCAAAAGCCTGGTTAAAAAGGGCTTCTGTCGTGAGTGACACGCGGGGTGGGCTGGCTTCGGCTTGTCCTGCCCCGTGCGGAATCGACATCAAGAGATTTCGGAAGCACAATTTTTGTTCCTGGGGCTGTTGGTAATCGCTGGTTCCGGCGCCCCGTCGTCCTGGTGTGAGAAAAGACCGAAAACGAGGGAGACTGCTTCTTTCCTCTCGTAGTCCCGCATGTGGGTCCGACAGGGCGGGGGGAGAGTTTCCTGGGTGTGCAACTTGTAGGCTGGCGTAAGTGTTATAGAAATCACGGGGTTGTGCCGTGTATAGGCAAGGGGTGTACTTGGTACCTGGTTTGGTCTGAGATAAAAAGAAATGCAAAACGCTAGAACTATTGGTTCAGAAATGCTACCTTTTATTAAACCAACTAGGAAAGCACCAAAAAAAAAATTCTTTTTTTCTGCAAACTCTCAGGCTCAAAGGCCTGTCATCAGACAGCCAAGAAGTTTTAAAGAGATTTTTTTTTGTGGCAATTTCTTGGTCTAATACAAGGTATCATTTCTGAACCAAGAGTTCTAGAGTTTTTTCAAGCTTTCAGGCTCAAAGGCACTTCATGAGGCAGTGGGAAACTTTTAAATAGATTTTTTTTTTTTTTTTGCAATTTCCTAGTTGGTCTAATAAAAGGTAGCATTTCTGAACCAAGAGGTCTAGATTTTTTCCTACCCAAAACTAGAACTCTTGGTTCCAAAATGCTACCTTTTATTAGACGAACTAGGAAACTGCAAGAAAATTGTCCTTTTCTGCAAGCTTTCGGGATTAAAGACCTGAAAGTCCAAATATTTTTGCATTTCTTTTTGTCTCAGACCAATATGGCTACTAAAGACATCTGTGAAACATGGAAGATGCTGAATTTTAGCCAATTTTGGATTTTAAACTTCATTACAGAACAAGAGATATTTTTAAACCTCCCTGTTTGTCATCGGACACCTCCAGGGAAGGAATCCTACTGATCTACCCAACAAAGAGCAACTCTGAACCGCTCAGAGACACTCAGAGATACTCTCATGGACCCAGAGGGACAGCTTGTTCATCTCCAGCTCCCTCTGTGAAAAAATGAAGTGTATTTCCTACCTATGGGGACTTTTTACCATCTTTAATTTTCCCAAAGCCTGATGAAGGGCCTTTGAGCCGGAAAGCTTGCAGAAAAAGAGATTTTTTTAATTTTTTTTTTTTTTTTTTTTTTTGCAATTTCCTGGTTGGTCTGATAAATGGTATCATTTCTGAGCCAAGAGTTCTAGATTGTTGCATTTCTTCATGTATCGGCCAGGTTCATTGGGTAGATGTGATCTCTTTTACTAGACCAACAGAGTAGTTGGGGGAAAAAGTTCTTAGCAAGCTTTTGGGCACAATGATAAGCCTACAAACTTCATTTCATAAATCTACTGGATACAAAAAATCATGGACTCAATATAGACATTAGATATATGACACATTACAACCCGCCTGACATCTGATTCACCAGGGACCTGCCAGACCTGACCTTTTCCACATTTGCATTTCTCCCCCTTGCTCCCCTCCTCCTCCACCCTTGTCTTCCTAATGCCCAGCTACTTACTTTTTCACAGACTGCCTCTCTTCTACCTTGGAAAACTACTACAGTGGTTTCCCTTACTTACCTTGGGCTTCCCCCCCCCTCCATATTCCCCATCCCTTCCCTTCTCTACCCACTGCTTTCCTAATTTCCACCTATTTACATCCTCACTGACATCCTGTCACACTTCCAGCTCCTTTCATTCCTTGGAGATCTCAGAACAGCAGACTCCCAATACCTGGCGAAGGCTGACTGCACCCAAAAGCTTACTAAGAATTTTTTTCCAGCTACTCAGTTGGTCTAATAAAATATATCACATCTGCCCAAAGAACTTGCCTGCCTATGTCCTTAGCTCCTCCTAGATCTTTTCTCCCACTTAAAACATTGCTATGAATGATCATTTGAATCTAAGAGGAAAAGGAAGACTGGTGAAGGGAAAGGGACAGTTATTGCTGCCTTCAAGAGCTGTGATCACTCTTATTTTTATGGTTGGGGCTGGCTTGGTTATTACACCGAAGGGCTCTGTGTAATGCATGTACTACTAACAGTGGGCCAAATGTAGACTGTGTGTGCACACGTGTGTGTATGCATGTGCAAACATGAACACATGCTTAGCCAAGTGGACTGAGTTTCATCATAGGTAGACGGAGAACTTGGATCCTGTAAAGACTTGTCTTAAACAAATCTCTTGCAAACAAGAAACCTTTTCAGTGTTAAATTGTGCTACTTGCAAACAGGCAAGGACAAGTGTTAGTGGAGGGTGCTGAGAGACTGCCCAAAGAGGGGAGAAGTGGCCCAGGAAACCTTTTCTCCTCTAACTGCTTATCCTGGGGAGTGATGGCAGAGGTGCATCCCAATATACTGACGGCTGTGGGTGGGACCTCTTGGAAGGAAGTCATTTTTGCCAGGTGCACAGCTCCTGAAACCCAGCATATTTTGTACCCAAAAAGGAGAAGCTATTGCATGCCAAGCTGCTGACTTCCACCTTTTTGGCCTCCCAGTTGAGGTCCATGTGACCTAGAGGTCAGAGCAAAGGCTGTGAATTGGGCTTGTGGGTTTTTGGAAAACAGCATGCTGCAGAAGAACGGTGAGAAAGGAGACAGGAGCAACTGAGTCCCTTGTGTTGTGAAGAAACTTGCTATTCTGCTGCATGCCTCCGTTTCCTCCCATGTAAGGTAGCTGCAAGGATTCATGGCTTTTTCCCAATAGTGGTGTGAGGACTCATAATGACTGGTCCAATAGTGCCTAGAACCTGTGACATGCAATGTAAATCCAACAGATTAGTTCCCTCTGAGCCCCATGGCTTGAGCATGGAAAGATCACTCATTTGTTAGTCAAACCATATAGCAAAGAAAGAGAAACTTCTCTTTCTGGAAACCTGTCCTGGGTGCAACACACTGCTGGGGATGAGAACTGTGCAAAAGGAGAATACATTGTCTGGCTCACCCGTTGCAACCAGACCTTCCCCTGGCACAAAGCAGCATAGCGCCAAAGAGCAAGGTTGATGTACAGCAGACAAGGGTCCAGCCCATTTGGCTTTAAGGCCCCTGGGCCAGGTGCTTAAGTGAATGTAGTTTTTATTTGGAACTGGCTGACTGCCCTTTGGGAAAATGCAGGTACTTTGATATACAAATCCCCAAGCAATCCTAGTGCATGAGAAGCCCTCCAGAATAGCATCACTGATGCGCTGTCAGCTCAGAAGAGTGGCAGAGTTGTAATGCTGTTAACCTTTTCATGCTCTTAACTGAGAAAACAGGCTGTTGTACCTGAACAGTATCTCCCATGAGACTCAAAAGGACCAATGCCATTCGGGAGATTTCATGTTGCATCCTACATAGGGAAGCTGCTGTACTAAGCCATGACACTCAGAGCCCTTTCCAAATCCCACCACAGTCAAGGGAAATCTTTCTACTAATTCTAATGGGAGATGGATCAGAGACTTGCTGGCCGCATCTACACAAGACACTGACTGCACAGTTCTCATTGCGCAGTCATTAATACTTGCATACACAGTAGCATCCCCGAATGGCTTTTTAGTGACACTGAATACACAGTAGCTTGTTACTACTGTGCAGTAGAGTTGCGTCACGCTTCATGCCATGCGATGCTACTGCGCAATAGTAACAAGCTACTGCATAGTCCACATCTTGTGTAGACGTGGCCAGCATCCATCCACAATAGTTTATTTCTTCAGAGTCAAAAGCATGAAGGGCTTAACATTGCAAGGATGATTGCTGGGGGGTTGGTCATGGGGTCACAAGGGGGATCTTCGGCACAATCCTGTAGTAGATTGTGGTAAAGTGGCTCAGGCAACGTGTACACTAAAACCTTATCCTGCTCCGGAGCAGAATCCTCAAGCTGGACCAGATGCAGGACAGCCACGTCCGTGGTGCTTGGAACAGCTAATGAACACTGCTGAGTGATCAGGCCACTTATTCCACCCCAAGGTACCATGCACACAAGGTGTGTGTACACACACACACAGGGACTTGACGGTTCCCTTGCCTTGCATGTGCCTGAGGTGTTCTTGCCGAGTGCCATGCTGGATGGGTCTGTGGTGAAACACAACTGAGCCCCATGCCCAGCTTTCTGAATCTGCTTGCTGAGTGTTAACACAACCCCGTGGTGGGCTGAGAGTTGCCTCCAAAGGAACAGGTTTTGTTTCCTCTGCTCTGCGTTGCTGCCAGCATGCTTGTGTGGCTGGGGCGGAGGTGGTCTGTGAACGAGGGGGAGCATTCATATGGAAAAGACCATGCAGAGATCTGTATGGAGCATGTGTGTATCACTGCAGGGGCATATGTGCATGGCTTTGATGATGAGCACACTCAACACAGGCGTGATCCATTCCCCAGGGGCACATTGTAAGACAGCCCATGGTGGAGTCTGAGGCTTCCCTCCCCACCTACGGGACTGAGCAGCCAGCGAGGCTCCTGGGCCGCAGTTCATTCTGTAGGAACAGCCAGGAAGG